TAAGAGGCCTTCACCTATGTTTTGTTCTAGGAATTTTGAGGTTTCACATCTTTCATTCACATCCACTTCCAGTTCGTTTTGCGTATGGTGTAAGGTATTGGTTCAGTTTCCTTTTGTATGCAACTGTCCAGTTTCCTGTCACCACTTACTGAAGAGATGGTCATTTCTTCTTTGTATATTCTTGCCTCTTTTTTCATAAATACGTGTATAGGTTTATTTCTGGGTTCTCTGTTCCTTTGATTACTATGTCTTTTTATGCCAGTTTTCCATACTGTATTTACTACTATAGCTTTGTAGCAGTTTAAAATCAGGGTGTGTGACTTTTTCAGCTTTATTCTTTTTCAAGATTGCTTTAGCTATTCAACATCTTGGTGTTTTCATGCAAATTTTAGTATTTGTTGCATTCCGTGAAAAATGAAATGCCGTTGGAATTTTAATAGGGTTGTATTGAATATATAGATTGCTTTGGGTTTTTTGATAGTATTCTTTCATGAATTGGAATATCTTTATATTTGCGGCATTTCAATTTCATTATTTTTTTTGTCTTTGGTTAAATTTATTTCTTGATGTTTTGTCCTTTTTCATGCATTTGTAAGTGGGATTGTAAATTCTTTGATTTTCATATTTAGTATATGGGAACAGCAGATTTGTGCATGTCAATCTTGTTGTGTCCCCCAATATCACGGTATTTGTTTATTAGTTTTAACAGTATTTTTGTGGCATCTGTTGGGTCTTCTATAAATAATGTCATCTGTAAATAATCTCAACCAAATGATTTTTTATTTTTCAAATTACTCTATGTAGGATTTCTAATGCTATGTTTATTAAAAGTGGTGGACTGAGCCTTCTTGTGTTGTTGATCTTGGTCTTAAAGGGAAAGCTTTCAGCTTTTTACTACTGAATGTGATGTTAGCTATGGGTTGATCATATGTGACCTTTATTTTGTTGAGGTATAGTCCCTCTGTGCCTACTTTGATGGGAGGTTTTTTTTAAATCATAAATGGATATTGAATTTGTCATAAATTTGATCATAAATTTTTCATTTATGGTGATCATCATATGATTTTTATCCTTTATTTTGCTAACATGCAGTTTCACCTTGATTGATTTCAGATGTTGACTCATTCTTGCGTCCCTGAAATAAATTCCACTTGCTCATGTTGCATGGTCTTTTTAAATATATTGTTGAATTCAGGTCGTTAACTTTTTTTAAGACTTATTTATTTATGCAGACAGAACTGGGGTACAGGGATTGTGAGAGAACCCACCGGAGACAGAGTGGGGAGCAGAACAGGTTGATTGACAAAGTACACTGCTGAGGGAGCAGCAGGTGAGATAGGAGAGGTCTGCTGTGCCATGTAGGTCACCTCTGGGGCAGGCGGGGATCAAACTCATGCCGAAGTGGCTTTAGCTTCTTAGTGCTGTACTTTAACCCACTGCACCACCAGGGAAGGCCCAGGTTGTTAATTTTTTGTTGATGATTTTGACATTTGTATTTATCCAGAATAATTTGCCCTGCTATTTTCTTGTGTACCCTTGTTTGGTTTTGCTGTCAGGGTGGTCTTGCTCTTAACTAAATGAACTTGGAAGTCTTCCTTCTGTTCTTTGAAATAGTGTGGGAAGGACTGTTATTAATTCTTTGAATGTTTGTGTAGAATTCACCAGTAAAACCCTCTGGTTCTAGGCTTTTGAATTTGAGGAGGTTATTGATTCTGACTCAGATTTCTTAGTGATTGGTGTGTTCAGATTTTCTGTTCATGATCCAACGTTAGGAGGTTGTATGTGTCTAGGAATTTGTCAATGTTAGGGTCCTGTGGTGTCAGTTGTAATGTCTCCTTTCATTTCTGATTGTACTTATTTGAGTTCTCTTTCCTTTAGGGAGTTTTAACTAAATGTCAGCTTCGTTTATATTTTCAAAGAAACAATTTATTAATCTTTTCTATTTATCTTTTTGATCTCTATTTCATTTTTTCTATTCTCCTCTTTGTTATTTCCTTACTTCTGTTGAGCTATTTGTTACTCGTTTTCTAGTTCCTTGAGGTATAATGTTAGATTACAAATTTGAAATTATTTTTGTTTCTTGATATAGGTATTATTGTTACATACTTTCATAGAACTGCTTTTGCTACATTCTGCATATTGTGGTTTATGTATTTTTCTATTTATTTGTTTTAAAGTAATTTTTCTTTTTGATTTCTTCTTTGACCATTGGCTGTTCAGTATCATGTTACTTAATCTCCACATATTTACGAAGTTTTCACTTTTCTTGATTTCCAGTTTCATGCTATTGTATTTACAAAAGATGCTTGATATGATTTCAGTCTTCTAAATTTGTTAATACTTGTGGCCTAACTTATGACTTATTTTGAGCAATGTGAGAATGTCCTGTGTGCAATTGAAAGGAATGTGTGTTCTGTTGCTTTTGGACGGAATGTTCTGTATGTTGCTGTTAAGTCCATCTGCTCTCAGGTCACTTAGGCCAATTTTTCCTTACTGATTGCACACAACGCACTTGGTGGGAAAGCAAGGAAAACCATTGAAACTTTCCAAATACACGTGTACTGGCTCACTTTTACCACACTTGCCATTTCTTCTTAACACTGGCAAAATTTCTGCATTCTGCCAATCGTGTCTTTTTTCATTTTAATCAAAGGATTAAGATAAATTTTATCTTTTTACAACTGAAGAATACTAGAAATTAGGGTGGACAATAAGGACCACTGAGGATAGGATATTTATCAAAACATCTGGCCTCAACAGGAACAGAATAATTGCTTTTGATTATGTTTTAATAGCATCTAAATATATCGTGTTGACCCTAGAGTGCTTTAGGCGTTATTCAAGAGTGAGTTTAGCTAAGTACAGCAGAGCAGATGGAAATATGTTTTTACCCCCATAGCCAACATGTTCTGAGGAAGAAATGTGTGCAAAGTGAGATGTGTAATGAGATCCTGCTGAGAGGTATGCATTTAAAATGTAAAATACCCTGGAGTTTATCTTTTGTATATCATCTGAGCTACCATGCTGAAACCTACTGGTTTTCCAGAATTTATCACTGGTGAAGATGAGGAGAGTGGAGCATCTCACCTAGAGGTATAGATTCCTATTAAACTGTTTCACTTTATCTTGATTTCATTCATGATAGGTTAGAAATGAAGGGATATATACATAGCAAGAGTTGACACCCCTCTTATGTGCCCGAAGTTATACTTTTCTAGCTCTCAGCCTTGCCTGCATTCTCTGCCGGTGTGCCTAGTTTCTCATGCTTTAGATTCCTTTTTCTCCCTGCATTGCCTGAAAGCAATTATGTTATAGTAATTCTAAGAAATCCCTTTCCCAGCCAGGTGTAATTCTTTGAGAGAGACTTAGTAATAAAGTTGACCTTTGAACAACAGCTTGCAATCAAATATCCATTTATAAATTAGAGTTGGCAGAATGTGTGGATAGAAAGAAGTCCCTGTGGTCTGTTGTTCAAGGGTCTACTGTCCAAAGAAAGTTACTAGTGATTTCACTTTAGGCAGAAAACCTATAGAGAAATGGTTCACAATTCTGGTTGTATTTGTATTTGGCAGTTTTTTCAAAATTTGTGTGACCCAGTTTCAGAGTTTGTCACTTAATTGATAAATAGTGGGAACTGGAGTTCTCTTGAAAATTTTGAATTCTCTTTAAAAATACCATGTGCCTGAACTTAGAAATATGAGAGAAGTGTCCTTTGTGTATAGGCTTTCTACACAATGGAAAGTTATCTCATGCTTCTGCTCTGTCTTGTCTGTGAGAGCAGCCTTAGAGGGAGAGAGAAGGTCATAATCTTTCTAGAAGCAGGAAGAATACCCATTTTTTGGATTTCTACTTAAAGTTTTATGAGGTGATATAGCATAAAAGGATCCTCTCTCTTCCCATATGGAAGTCTGAAAACGTTCCATAAGAAGAGATATTCCCACTACAGAGATTAGACTGTTTTCTTCAAGGCAAAAATGAGATTGATTGGTTTCCAAACAGACATCTTGGGCTACCATCTACTTCTGTGTGAAAGTGCTGTTTGCTGTTGGAATCCTCAGCTCTTTCTGAAGTTAAATGTTGTTTTTCTTTTTTAAAGATTTATTTATTTATGCATACAGAACTAGGGCACCGGCCAGAGGTGCAGGGACAGTGAGAGGATTCACCAAAGACAGTGGGGAGCAGAACAGGCAGATAAATGAAGTACATTGCTGAGGGGAGCAGTGGGCAAGTCAGAAGAGGTATGCTGCGCCATGTGGATCACCTCTGGGGCGGGGATAGAACTCATGCTGAAGTGGCTTTAGTGTCTTAGTGCTGTGCTTTAACCTGCTGGGCCACCAGGGAGGGCCCTCAAGTTAAATCTTTTAAGTGTAGAAAATAAAATACATGGCATTACAAAGAATACTGTATTATTTAAATACAGTATTTAAATAATAAAATGTGTGCACTAAGATAATGTGTGCACTACTATTAACACATTAAATAACATGTAGTGGGTCCTTCTACTTATCATTTTCAAAATAATGATAAATGTAAGTAGTATTTCATGATTGCTGGTAAAAATAACTGTAATGTAATATTGAAACAACGGGTCTCTGTTGGAGGAAAATCTCACAGCTACTAAATACTCCTGTGGTTTGTTACCAGCATTCACAATTGAAAGCAGTGTTAAACTTCAGTTTAGGTTTATGAAAATAAATAGGTAATTTTTCTTATCCTATACTCAATGACACCTACATATCTTCTGTACAGAGGATAAGTATATTAACATGTTAATCTTCTCTTTATAGGTGTGAAACAACAGGTTAAGTGTGTAGTTTTTTCATAATAGAATTTACCTGGTTATATATTTTCAAAGGCCTTCTTTTGATCCTAAAAATCACGTAATATTTTTTTAATTAAGCTTAAACTGAGTGTAGTACCAGGTTTTATGCAGAGCATTATTAGCTAGATAGCTCTTTTCTGAACACCCAGATGCTAATGAAAGTGGTTTGATGTTGCAGGAATACAAGCGCAAGTTAGCCAGAGTTTCCCTGGTGCGCAAAGAACTCAGGTCCCGGATCCAGAGCCTGCCAGACTTATCTCGCTTGCCCAATGTCACTGGCAGCCACATGCACCTGCCCTTTGCGGGGGACATCTACAGTGAAGATTGACGACCAGTCTCTTTCCAGGGCCCAGGACTTTGCAAGAAATGGAGACAGGTTAGGTGGCTACTAGTGTAGTGTTATTTTTGTATATTGTTGAGAGAGTGACACTAACAAAAAAATGACAAGTAATTTATAAAATTGTTTAAAATGTTGGTTTGTTTACTATTTTATTGGTAAGTTAACTTTACTTAGTTTAAACAAAGTGGTGATCTCTGTATTAATAAGCTCACATATAGTGATTATTTTCAAAAAATCTTTTTGTAATTTTTTTTTTAATTCAGGGCCTTGTGAGATGTTCCATGTTTCTATTTCTTCGTGTATTTTTATGTTTCTTTTATTATCTTAGGTATCTAATCACTGTATAGTATGTAATTCTGAAAGGGTGAGAACTAATCAAGATTTGGTTGAGACTTTATTATGGTATAGTTAGGAATTGATTGTAGAAGGGACACAATGTTTTAACTTAATCTTCACCTTCTACCTGACTAAAATATCAGTTCTGTGCCTCTCAATGCCTTTGATTCCTTATCCCCTGAGATGCATAACATCCCTAATGGATGTTACTTTGAGAATCAGATCAGAGCCTAGAGAACTATCCACACTAACACTCCAGGGATTCCATTCCAACTGACAGTGTAGAATAAATAATGTTAAATAGGGGTCCCCCTCAATAAATTGTTCAGGATTATTTGAATAGATTAATATGAATATACTTGGGAATTGTTATAAATTTTGACATTCTACCAAGAGGACAACTTAAATTCTGGAACCAATTTATCTTTATCACCTCAGTTTTCTTTTAGTATAATTGATCTCTTTAACATAAAATCATCTATGGGATTAAAATGAACATAAAATAATATTTTCATTACTTATTTAGCCATTTAACTTCAATAGTATTTTTAGCTGTTAGCTCAAAAACACAATACTCATTACTGTTCAGTAAAATAGCCTGAAACATTTTTAGTATTTCGTTGAGGTTTTTGAATGACTGTATATTTGGAAATAAAGCAGTGCTGTTCTACAGGGTAGATCTGGTAAATATTATATTTGTATATTTAGAATTACCAAAAACAAATGTACTTTTTACCTTTTATTTCTAGCCCTGTGTGTTAGAGCAGTTGCATGTTCTTGTGCTTTCTTTTAAAATCACATTGTTAAGCTGTGGATTTGTACTCAATAAGTTAGGATAAACATTTTTTTCATTCATTACATATTAGATCTTTTTCTTTTTGTTGTGTAAGCAGATTCAAATTAGATAGTCAATAAAACATTTCTTAAACTCCACAAGCCAATATGTCTCACTAGTTTTAATGGCTTCACTGTTTCTCTCTCAACATTATAGTTAAAATGAATTAATATGTGGAGAAAGCAAATGTCTATTTGTAATAGCTTATAGTTCTGAAAAACATTACTTTTCAACAGTTTGACCTCTCTCTAAAACAGAAATATATAAGTATTCTCCACCCAAACTTGGCTGATTTCAGTTTTTAACTTTGGGACTCTGGGCATAATTTTTTCAGAGAAACAGCAGTTCTTAAGTTTCCTATGAATGCCTCAGAAAGCTTACCTCAGAATCTAATCCACTTAACCACAAATGTATTTGTGATATGATTGTCAGATTACTACTCTTAGGTCCTGATCAGCCTTTGTAACATCATTTTAAGGAAATGGTGTGCAGCAGCCAGACCCTCACATTGGGTGTCTATCTTATGTACCTCTGTCCCTAGGTGTAGGAGATAAGAAAAAGAGCATGTGGAGAGGGAGGCTAACAAGTGCACAATTAGAAGACCTGGTTATACCTATTCTAAAAGTCTAGTAAGTAAGTTAGTTTGGGTATTAAAATGAAAGCAAAAACTTTTGTTAACTTATTTGCAATATCTTGACTTTATTTATGATCTGCTAAAGTAGTGATTGATTCACTTAAAATTTTTTTCCATTTAAAATTAATTTATAAGGTGTATGTAGTCCTGGGAAGATTAAAATCTATTAGTTTATTGAAATATTTTCACCATTTTAGGCAGACTTCTGACTTACTGATTTTAATACCAGTATCTGCTCTAAATATTTATGATAAAAATGCATTATTTTTTTAAGGAGCTTCATGTGATTTGTGATAAGTGATAGTACCCAACCTGGATCCAACCCCAACCCCACTCCTTAACCATTTCTTCACAAACCCTCAGCTGTTGCTTAATTCACTAATTGTAAACATGAATGATACGGTCTGGTTTAGTTTTCAGCCTTATTTATGTTAGCTGACATGATAAGCCTGAGCAGTAAATAGTCTTCCTTTCTAAAAGGTAGGCTCTCTTTTCTTTAGAAATGGGTTTAGGTGGAGGCAATATAATACCAAGTTACAAATCATGAACAGTTTTTCTGTTGTGTGAGGCAAATCATGCATCTTTTTGAGTGTAGTTTAGCTTGACTCCTCAGGAGAAAAGCATATCACCATGCTTGAAGTAGGGAAACTATGGTTTGAATGGATACCATCACTCTTTTTTCCACAAACAGAGCAGAGAGCTGTCTGGAGTGGCAATTTGAACAGACTCCTTGGCCTTCCCTCTGCTCCTTCCAGCATTACAGTAAGTAGAAAAAAAAGTGGGGAACTTGGGAGCCTCAGAAAATCAGCTGTACCTAATAGCCAACTGTCCCCCCTCTCCCGCCACCCCCAGGAAAACTAGTCCAGATGCAACTATTTTGTATGTTTTCTCACATGCACTCTGAAGTAGGGTTTTCCTGTAAGAACTGCTTCATAATCAGCAAAATCTGAGATGACATCATCTTGATTTGCAAAATTAGAAAGTTAGTCATTTGTTAGGTAAGTTTCTCATCTCTTACAATATAGTTATTGAACAGAGGTGAGAAATCTTTAGAAAGATAAAAACAAAAGTACCAATTGGGAAAGTTTGAACAACCTGATTTCCATTCTAAAAATTTACATTACATGAAGTAATATAAAGCTTTTAAACTGCTTTGTAATTCTAATAACAGCGCCTGAAGATGTAGTCTTTTCATAGTTGTTGCACTATATCAAAGCTTTTTGGTGTAAATCCAATTCTTCTCGGTATTAAAAAATGGGGGAGTATTGCATTACTGAATTTATTAATACAGAGCTTTTGTTGCCATCTGTAATCCCAGCCATCCACACATGAATCTGTTCTAAGGGGGCAGCAGCACACGGGAAGATTATTTTCCGTTTCTTTACCCCTTTTTTTTTTGGGCTGTATCTGATGACAATATAAGATGTTCTTAATAAAGTTTTATGTTCTTTTTGAAGTGTGTAGATTATTTTTATGAATCAAATGGATATGGAATAAGGGCAGGGGGCAGATGAATGAACTGGGAGGGAAACAAATAACGGGAAATATTCAGTGATGTGAGAATGGAAAAAATGCCTAAGGATATTCTCTTTGCTTGGCAGTGGTTCTCAAACTTGAGTGTTCATAATAACCTGGGGGGTTATTGGATAGTTTTTCTGGGGTAAGGCTTGGTAGTTTATATATTTTATATATATATATATATATTATTTTTTTTTTAAAGATTTATCTTTTTATGCTTACCGAACTGTGGTATAGGCCAGAGGTGCAGGGGTGGTGAGAGGATTCACCAGAGACAGAGTGGGGAGCAGAACAGGCAGATTGACAAAGTCCACTGCTAAGGGGAACAGCAGGAGGGTCAGGAGAGGTCTTCCCCGCCATGTGGGTCATCTCCCTGGCGGGGGATCAAACTTGTGCTGCAGTGGTTTCTGAGAGCTTTATAATGTGGTCCTTTAACCCACTGCGCCACCCACTGCCCAGCAGTTTATTTTTAACAATTTGATGCTGGTTCCATTGGGTTTGATAACCTGTGTTCTAGATAAAATCTATGACTTGCTTCACAATTTTAAATAGTTAAATCAAGTCCAGTAAGAATATAATAAAGTACAGGTTCCCATGAAAAATAACCATCTCCTCACTGAGAGAAAGGAAAGCCCAGCAATAGTAACTTCAGCTGGGGACTTCTCAGAGGCGCACATTCTTGGGCTCCAGACGTACTGAATATGGAAATTTAAGGTCAATGATGTATCTTTTATCAACTCTCTAGGTAATTTTGATGCATATTCATGCCCCAGCTTTGTTTTATACACCACTGTTCTAGACAAACATCTAGTACTTTTCCTCATAAAGATTTCTTCAGAGAGTAAAGGATTTAAAGAGTAAAAGGATTTGTTCTTTTCTGAAAAGGCAAATTATTTTCATTTGTCATGAACCCCACTTTATATAATAGCAAATCTCTCCTTATTTTCTTGTTTCCTTTCCTGTCTTAGCACATCTGTTGCAATTCGTCAGAGGGCAGTAGAGTGAAGGAGGAAACAAATGCAGTGTGGGGCCTGACTTATCTGCCTATAGTCTGACTGCTATTTTAATTGCTGAAGACCATGTGGCTTTATTTCTAACTGGATGACATAAAAAATGGATTTTGCCTTTCTGATAAGTAGCTTGCTGACTAAAGTGGGATGTAAATTGATTTTCAGAATTTCATTTGAATTCCATGGAAAAACCTGAAATGTTTGAATTAAGTGAAACTCATGCAGAGAGCATTAACTTATAGTCAGACGTATCAGGAAAATTCAGCTGTTTTTTTAAACTTAGCATCTTTTTAGAGTTCTATTAGTGTAAGCAAGAAAATTTCATTTTACTTATGGAAATACAAGTTAAATGCGATACTTTTAGAGGCTTAAACCATACATTAGTACATAAACACTGAAGGATGCCAAAGAAAAACATGTAAAGAATAAATAAAAAGCCGTTTTTCTAACTTCAGTTTTAGAAATCACATGAAACACTACTTATTTTCATTGTCCATCCTTTACAGAGATGATAAGAAGTGTCTAAAGTCCATTTTTGGATTCTTCTGGGATTCATTCTGACTTAGCAACATTTTTAGTTGAGAGAAGTGTTTCTTTGTTTTGCTAGCACTCTTTGAGGAGTAAATGGGTGTTGACTGTCCAGATGTCGGTGTTCTGAAAAGAAACAAAAGTACACTTGGTTATACTGACAAATGGCAATTTAAAAGTGTTCTTCCTGCCTAGCCTAGATAACGGCCACTGGAATTGTTTTCTACTCTTTTGTATTACAGCCATATGCGAGCAATGGCTGTACCCAGCACAATCCTCCTTTTGTTAAACAACTCCTAAATAAAGAGGCTATAAGCAATAGTTGGAAGGCACCCAAGTATTAGGTAGTTCTGGAAGCTTCTATCACGTGTGGAAGAGAAGGGTAAAGATAAAGTGTCACTGGATCTGAATCCCTTTTAAATTTAACTTCAAGATTCATGAAAATTCTAAAAAAGGACTTTAAAAGCATAGTCCTTTGTAAGTCAAGACCACTTCCTTTTTCAAATACAAAGGATCTCAGCCTACACAGGTAAGAGTCATTGTGTTTTATCTGCCCCAATAGAATGTTAAGTTCCTTAGGGCAGATACTTTGTACTATTTTACATGCTAGTACTTTTTAACAGTATCAGACACAGGGAAAGCCCTATTTAATAAAATGATTCCCCATCTGGTATGTGTGTATTTATGGCTGTCTCTTCTGCTTCAGTTGTGTATCCCAGAACCCTTTTTGGGGTTTGTTAGTCTGATCCCTTTTCTGACTCTCCAATGAGATGCTAAATTTCTCACTCCTGCATATATCTTAGCAGCAGTTGGTCTAAATGCAACTGAATTATAGCAAACTTTCCATTATCTACATTTATCCAATAAAGTGGAGACTTCTTTAATGAATTCCCATCATACCCAGTATCAAAATAATTGAATAAAGAATAAGGAAAACTGGACTAGAAATTTTAATACCCAAATTTATAAGTGTCAAACCTAATATTAAAAACACAAGTCCTAAATGAATGTTGTATTTATACTTAAGAAACATTCAAGCTCACTTTATTTTTTGTAAGAAAATGCCCAAAAAATTAGTTTCTGTAAAGTTCAAATATACTATCATAATGAGTAATGTATTAAAATAGATCATTAAAAGTACAATGTGCCCAGTCATAAGTCAGTATCGCTAGACAAATCTCTAATTCAGTTAGATTTCTATGGCAATTTCTCATAGAGAAAGCAGCAAGAACAAGGCTTAGAGCAGGAAAATAAACTGAGTGGTTCAGTTTTGCTAGGAGAGTAAAACAGGCAGGCAGATTGGTGCCAGATAGTGAGAGCTGAAAAGCCATGCTGAAGCAGTTGATCCATATGCTGTAGAGTTGGGTGCCAGAGGCTTCTAATCAGACCTGTGTTTTAAGAAACTATAAGACTAGAAGGTTTTAAAACTAGAGGCAGGCTCAGGAAATGCACAGTGGTCCTCCAAAATGTACATAAACACCTGAACAGACACCAGCAGTAGGGAGAAAAAGGAGAGAACAAGCAAAACCATAGACTCAGGATAGAAAGAAACGGGCAACTCACCCCACAAGGATCAAGGGAGGAGGCTGCCAACTATTCTAATCATCTGAAATCAAAATGCCTAGAAGGCCATGTTTACTCCCAGAATAAGGAATTTGGGAGAATGGGCAGTTTGAGTGGTCAGCTGAGACATAGTGTGGGGAAGTGAAAACATGTTTAGTAGGCAGGTGGGAACAGACCCAGAAGAGGCTGGAAGTCAAGGAATGACTTCCAGGTGAGAATGGAAGACAGGGAATATATGATACTACAGATGAAAAGGAAATGGGGAAAAGGAGGCCAAAGGCTCAACTGCATGACAAAATTTAGGGAATATATATTAAACAGAGAAAAATTAAAAGAAATATTCAAGAATTAACATCAGCAATTCAAATGAGCTTAATAAAAATAAAAATAAAAAACAAACCTGAAAATCGCTGGGCTCTTGCCTTTGGAACCAAACACATCAGGATTTAGGTTTGCAGGATTTCGAGTCTTCCTTTCTGGTGTCTTCAGGCTAAATTTACTTGTAGGAATGGCAGAATTATTCTGTAATGCTGACAGAAAGCTTCTACTTTTACCATGATGTTTAACTGTCTTGTTGCACGTTTTACAAGTAATCATCTGTCATTAAAAAAACAAAAAACAAAAAAAAACCACTGGGCTGATTTCTCTTATAAATTAATACAGTAAGCCACATGTTTATTAAATTCTATGTGAGGTACAAGGTAACAAAAGTTGCTTTTGTAGAGGCTGTGATCTATTAAGAGGAATTAGACAAGACACAAATTTGAAATGAGAAAATCTGAAGTAAAAAATTAATGTCTCTCAGAGGTTAACTAGACTTACTGTGATCATTTCAAAATATATTTAAATATTGTGCTTCCCTGGTGGCGCAGTGGTTAAAGACACAGAGCTATCAAGCTATCGCCAACCACTGCAGCACACACTTGATCTCTGGAGAGCCAAGGAAGTGACCCACATGGTGCAGCAGTCTCTTTTCATGCCTGCTTCTCCCCTTAGCAGTGTATTTCAGTATGTCTGCCTGTTCTGCACCCCACTCTGCCTCTGGTGAATCCTCTCACCTCCCATACCTCTGGCTTATACCCCAGTTCTTGTATGCATAAATAAATCTTTATAGATAGATAGATAAAACATTTGTAAATGTACAAAATGATGTAAAAATAAACTTTTGTAATAAAAAAAACATTTGTATTTAACTATTTTTTAAAAATATTTATTTATGCATACAGAACTAGGGTACAAGCCAGAGGTGCAGGGGCAGTAAGAGGATTCACCAGAGACAGCAGAGACAGTGGGGAGCAGAACAGGCAGATTGATGAAGTACACTGCTGAGGAGAGCAGTGGGGGAGACAGGAGAGGTCTGCTGTGCCATCTGGGTCACCTCCCCTGCCTGGGATCAAACTTGGAAAGCTTCATAGTATTGTGCTTTAACCCACTGTGCCACCAGGGAGGGCCAATTTAACATTTTAAAGATAAGCTTCTACTCTCAAAGGAAATAGCAGTATCTGAGGAAAATGGAGATTAGTAGTGATGACCTTTAACATCTAATGTTCTTTACAATAATAGCATTAGACAGCTAATATATTTTTGAAAACTAATTTCAAACTTCTCAATAAAACATGACAAAATATCACTGAAACTTTAAATGGCCCCTTCAAGCCCTTAGTGCTTCTATAAACATAGATCAAAAACTGTAGCTTATAAAACCAAGTGAATTTGCACGTTTCATTTCCATTAGTTCTGTAAGTTGATTTTCTTTTCCACATTAATTTTTCAAGAAATGGTTATTTTCTAGCCAAATGCCTTTCTTCTGCATATCTGATTTGCAATGTACAGAATTCTGACCAGGCTCCACAAAATTAAAACAAAGTTGTTTAGGTGAGAAGTATGCTGATCGTTTATGCACAGGTGAGATTTCAAATGGATGATCTGTGTATATCAAAGGTCTAGGTAAGTTGTTTGATATTTTTTGAAAATAGGCTAAACACATTAAATTTAATATTATGACAAAGCAAACTGCACTTATCGGTATAGCATTGGTGAAGTCTAAACATGGTTGCAACACAAGTTACTGACTACAGTTTTAGGTCAGACGACATAAGGCCAGGTCTGTGCTTGGCAGTAAATGGGCATTCCAAAAGCTGATGTTAACTTGGAACATACAGATAAAATGTTTCTGATACTGGTTTTCATCTAATGAACCATAAGTAATTTGATATGGGTTCTTTTATATCCTTAATATTTACAGTATTTTTTTAAAAAATAGACCCTTGATAAACAATGAATGAACATAAGATGCACTTTGTTGGGCATAAATGTAAACATATACTTTGATATGGATGGGGAAGATTATGCTATGAAGAAGTGACATTATCATCAGACATTAATAAAGCATTAGGCGGTGCTATCTGAAGGACCAGTACATGAACTGATAATTTAGTGGTAACTGCAGTTTAGGTTAAGTCACATCGGTCAGCTCATGAAATCTGGAAATTCTGTGAAAATGATTGTGTTCAATAATGAGATCTGAGAACAACTGAGAATAAATGATGCTTGGCGTTAGGTAATTGTGAACAATAAAAGAAAAAGCTGTACTCTGGAAACAGTAATCATACAAATATTCACACATATATTTTCATTATTTAAATACACAACCACAAGTCTAATCTACATTTAGGATGACTAACTTCATTTCAAATGAAAGAAAACTAGTTTATACACTGGAATTAAAATCTTACCAGCACACTTTTGGAATCTTGATATTTTTTCACAATTTTTGCTTCTTTAAAACTGAGTGTATAATTACTTTCTGCTCGATTAAGAAGTTTCTGTATTTTAGGTGTCAATTTGGATTTAGGTTTGAGGCGCACTCTAGAGTTATCCAGAACCAGCAACTGGAAACAATATGGACATGTCTCTTCAAAAGTGCTTTTGTCATCTAAAATTATACAAATGAAACTCATGATTTAGCAAACAAAATATTTTGTTAAACTGTCAATATTATAAATAAGTATATTAGAGCATATATAGATTCTCCTCAAAGATTATTCAAAATGTGAGCAAAAGATAAATTTGCAGCAATTTATTTTGTAAAACACTGTAATACGGCCCTCCCTAGTGGTACAGAGGGTTAAAGCACAGCACTAAGAAGTTAAAGCCACTTCCCCGTGAGTTCGATCCTCGCCTGCCCCAGAGGTGACCACGTGGCATGGAGTCCTCTCCTGACCCACCCGCTGCTCCCCTCAGCAGTGTACTTCCTCGATCTGCCTGTTCTGCTCCCCACTGTGTCTCTGGTGAATTCTCTCACCCTCCGCATCTCTGGCCTGTACCCCAGTTCTGTATGAATAAATAAATCTTAAAAAAAAAATCACAGCCACAATTGCAAAAATTAAAACAAAACAAAACAAAACACTGTAATACTATGTAGTTGCTCCATTTATGGATAGGCAAGTCCCACTCTGCTCACTGCTGTTAAGAAAAAAAAAAGGGCTAATGTCTCACCAATTTTACAAGCATTGTTCACAATATAATCATATAATACTGTAAATAAAAATAAACAGTAGTTTTGTGGTTTATCTGATTTTTGTCTGCAGGTAACTCCATATAAGATTAATAGGACAGCAGACTTGTCCTTTATGCAATCGAGAAAATATGCACTGAGCACTCCTACCTTGCCAGGCCGAGGAGACAAATATAGTAGGGAAAGAGCTGCTATTTTCTAGGAATTGAAGCCCTGGGAAGTCCTAGGCAAATGAGGGTAAGACTGACAAAACAATAACAAAATGATTAGGGTGCCCTGGAAATTATTAAATTTTGCAAAGAGGAGATCTGACAAAACAAAGATGGTCATAGATTGTTATAAATTCCTGTGTTCAGTGCAGCACTATTTACAATAGCCAAGCTATGGAAACAAGCAGAGTGCCCAAAATAGATGAGTAGATCAAGAAGATATGGTGTATGTACACAATGGAATACTAGCCAGCTATCAAAAATAAAATATACCAGTTGTGACAATATGGATAGAACTGGAGGGGATTATGCTAAGTGAAATAAATCAGAAAGACAAATACCAGATGGTGTCACTTATAGAAATAAAAGTCAGATAAAAGCCAACTATTAACACATCATAGATAAGCTGACTATAGAGCTGAGCCTACCAAAGGGGGAGAGAGAAGGGCAAACAGACAAACTGAGGAAGAAGCACAAGGGATTATGGTGGTGGACTATGGGTGCTTGGGTGATGGGGGTGGTATCGTAACACTATCTCTAGTACACAAATGTCCCAAACCAGTGTTACAGCAATTAAAGAAAAAAAAAAAGCTAAGAGATTTACCTAATACTCATTAAACATATCTTCATGCCATTATATCACAGCAATAAAGGAGTTTTGTGATGTTTTAAAGCATGTGATATCTAAAAGATTTTTGATTTTGCTTCTGATAAGTTTATTTGACTTACCAAGTAGCACACAAGATATGCTACCACAATAAACATTCTCAAAAAAAAGATTGTCACTTATACTGTGACATGGTGATATGATGTCACAGTATAATGGTGATATGATCCAACTTAGCTTTTTGGATGCTAAGTTGAGAATGAACTGTACACAAAGAAGCAGTTAGCAGGAATCCAGAAATCCTTGGACCAGGGTGGTAAATGTGAAAAAAGGAGAGTTTTGGATATACACATTATTTTAAAGGCAATACAACTTGCCTTTAAATTTGACTGGGAAGAAATGCTGTTAAGACATTTTTTTTCTTGTGGAGGGGAGCTGAATAATTTTCATTTACTGAAATGAAAAGAACTGTTGAGGCAATGGTCAGATCTGGGCCTCAGACATGGGAAGGAAGTGATCAAGAAGGCATCTCTGGATTAGTCTAGAATTCATCAGAGGTCTGGGCTGGGGATGTGTTCGGTCTACAGAATTTAAAAGCCCTAACAGTGACCACAAAAGTGAAGGTAGCTGGAAGGATTCAAAGGACTGAATCCCGGGACACTCCAACATTTAGAGGTTGGGAAAACTAGGAAAAACCAGCAAAGCAGGCTGAGCAGTACTGACTACAGAGGTAAGAGGTGAACTACGAGATGACCCGAAAGTGGAAGAAATGAGGAAACTAGAGAAGACTAATCAATGTGTCAAATGTCCCTAACAGGCACGGTAAATCAGATTAAGGGCTTTGGGTTTTCCTGGAAACAAGCCTGGAGGGATGGGGGTGGGGGTGTTTATGAGCGCAGTGTGTGAGATTTCGCCTCCGCTCACTCAGCGCTTTGTGAGGAACGGAAAGGATCGGGCGAGGGGACCAAGACCCAACCCCGATGGGTATTCTTCCTACCGTGTGACGAACTGTAGGTCCACCTGTAAAAGAGAAGAGGAGCTCATGAGGACAAGGGAATACCTTCTGCCGCTCCCCACACCCCGCTTCCCTTGTCGTCCTCTTACAGAAGATAACGGGCCTGGCCTGGGCAGCTGTCTTGAAGTTTCCGCGCCGCAGCCTCAAGGTAGTGCTTCTGCCTCATAGCCGCTGCCGCTGCACCTGGGAGCCGCTTAGATATTGACCAAAAGCCACATCCCGGAAGCCGGCTTTCCAGCGTGCCCGACTTTAGCGTGGGTCTCAAACTCCCTCCGGAAACACACGCCACCGGCTCAAGGGTTCCGGTTTCCTTCGCGCGGAGTCCGCCAAGCAAGGGATCATTTCTACGCCTCAGGAGGGGCGGGCGGCTGGTTCCTAGCGCAGTTTACACATCCACCTCAGGCGGGATCCTAGGCGGAGCTGGCTGACTCGCCGTCGCTTTGGGAGTCAAGTCCAGGAACTGAGTGGCTCGTGGTCTCTTTCTCCTGCTAGCTTCCTCACTCATACACCTGTTTTCAATTCCTCAGCGGCGCTTCAGATTAGACTTGCCACAGGCAAGACCTCGATGGACTAGTATGTTTTTCTTAACTGAACCTCCCTGTGAGATCTGTGGTTATTTCAAAAAGAGCTTTGCTATAAGACTAGACAAGAAGTGTTTTTGGAAGTGTCTTGGGCCCTGCACAGTGGACACTTCATGACTGTTGGTTTACTTAGTAAAAATTGATCACAGGTGAAGATGCTGTAGATAGAGTTGATGTAGACAGGGCCAGTTGTGGGGAGACGCAAAGCCTGTGTAGCGGTGGGAAGTTAATGCAATTTACAACTTATCTGCATTTAAACTGAGTGAGTTTCTGGTGAATCCTCTCACCCTTCACACCCAGCACCTCTGGCCTACACCCCAGTTCTTGTTTGCATAAATAAATAAAAATAATAAAACTTAAAAAAAGGTAAAAATAAAATGAGTGGGTTTAAATTCACAGATTAATAGTGATACTCTAAAAACTACCTAATTGTCTTATAATGAAAAATGCTAATGAACCCATCATTATTTTGATAGTTGACAAGTAAGACTTAACTTTTTATCTTCTGTCGCCTGTACTATGTAGGGGCTGTCTAAGTTAGTGAAGGAAAAGAAATAGGTTGCTATGGAAGTATTCTAACTAATAAATGGAGAAGGGATGACAGCAGAATATCACCATTCTCAGATTGATCATATTGGTCACCAATATGACCCTAACTGGAATGGATCTAGCCACAGGCCCAAAGCTGTCAATATCACAAGGCACACTACTGATGAGGTAGTCTTGCCAATAAAATAAAAACTGAACCTAGTCAAACCTCTAATTCCAAGTAGCAAGTTAAAATACAGAAGAAGGGGGAATCCAGGGTGCAGTTAAGGAAAAACTGGACTGCATGAAACTGCACTAAAAGTATCTGATTTCCCTTGTCCTTTGTGATGGATGGAACTGGAGGGGATTATGCTAAAGAATAAATCAGAAGAAGTGAGATAAATACTGGATGGTTTCACTCCAAAGTGAAATGTAAAGAAACAAAGCAAACAACAGGCAAAATCAAAACTAAACAAAACCTAGAAGTCTGACTGTGGAAAAACCCTACCATTTAAGATATTTCTGAGGTAACTGGGTATTTGCTAATGTTAAGGTGTTATTAACTTTTCTGGATAAGCATGGTATTGTGGTTATTTTTTAAGTTTGTATTTCAGAAATACACCCTGAATATTTGTAGTTGAAACGTTGGATTACTGGCACCTGCTCCACAATCATACTAGAGGGAAAGGAAATTTGATGGGGATGGAAATAAAAGTAGATTGACCATGAATTGACAGTGAGTCTGTCATATTATTCTTTTTGTATTATGGAACATTTGAAACATATAAAATAAATATGATGAGCCCTCAAATATCCATAATCCAGCTTCAACAATTATCAGCATTCTAGCATTCTTGTTCCATCTGTGATCCTTCCTGCACTCCTTTGATTATTATAATAATTTTAAAGGTAGTAAAACTAAAACATGTTTATGTTAAAACCTACATATTTTCAAATAATATAATAGTTTATTTTTACATCATTTTGTGCATTTTTTCATCTCAGTTGTAATCCCCGTGGGCTTCCCATCACCAAATCATCCATGTGCAATCACCATAGCCCAGTGTATTTCCACCCCCCCACTGTCTTTGATCCCATTCCCTACTCCCCCTCCCCCCCACAAAATGTCCTTCTGATATATAGTTGTTCATTATTATTATTATTTTCTCACCTGGTCCATTATACTTCTGCTATAAGTAAAATCATTTGGTATTTTTCCTTTTCTTTCTGGCTTATTTCACTAAGCATTATCTTTTCCAGCTCCATCCACGTTGCTGCAAAAGGCATGTGTTTATTTATTTTATTCCATTGTGTCTATGTACCACATCTTTTTTTTTTTAAAGATTTATTTATTTATTCATATAGAACTGGGGTACAGGCCAGAGATGCGAAGGGTGAGAGGATTCACCAGAGACAGAGTGGGGAGCAGAACAGGCAGATCTACAAAGTACACTGCTGAGGGGAGCAGCGGGCGGGTCAGGAGAGGTCTGGCTCGCCATGTGGACTCCTCCGGGGCAGGCGGGAATCGAACTCATGAGGAAGTGGCTTAAGCTTCATAGTGCAGTGCTTTAACCCGCTGCGCCACCTGGGAGGGCCTGTACCACATCTTTTTAATCCAGTCATCCACTTTTAGTTATTTGGGCTGTTTCCAATTGTAAATAAAGCAGCAATAAACATGAGGGTACAGGTACCTTTTTGAGTCAGTGTTTTTGTGTCTTTTGGGTAGATATCTAGGAGTGAGATTGCTGGGTCATATGGAGGCTCCATGTTAAGCAATTTGAGGAACCTCTAAACAGTTTTCCATAGTGGTTGTACTAGTTTGCATTCCCACCAGCAGTGCAGGAGAGTTCCTTTTTCTCCACATCCTCGTCAACATTTGTTGTTGCTAGTTGTTTGAAGATCTGCCATTCTCACTGGGGTGAGGTGGTATCTCATTGTGGTAAAACCTATATATTTTAACTGTACAATTTAAAAAAAATGTTTATGAAAGAATATTTTCCTCACTCTAGAAAGTAAGCCATACCATACAAAAGATTTACAGGCCCTCCCTGGTGGCGCAGCGGGTTAAAGCACTGCACTGAGAAGCTAAAGCCACTTCCGCATGAGTTCAAATCCCGCCTGCCCCGGAGGAGACCACATGGCGTGGCAGACCTCTCCTGTCTCGCCCGCTGCTCCCCTCAGCAGTGTACTTCGTTGATCTTCCTGTTCTGCTCCCCACTCTGTCTCTGGTGAAGCCTCTCACCGCCCCTGAGCCTCTGACCTGTACCCCAGTTCTGTATGTACAAATAAATAAATCTTTAAAAAAAAAAAAAAAGATTTACATCACCCCAGAAGTTGCTTCAATGTTTTTTTCCCAGGCAACCACATTCAAAGAGACCATCATTGTCTTATATTTTAACAATATATTAGTTTTATCTTTCTAGAATTTCACACAGATGGACTCATAATACATGCTCTTTTCACATAAATTAATATAATTTTTTAAAAAAAGGTTTATTTATGCATACAAGAACTGGGGTATAGGTCAGAGGTGCGGGAGGTGAGAGGATTCACCAGAGACAGAGTGGGGAGCAGAACAGACAGATCTACTGAAGTACACTGCTGAGGGGAGCAGTGGGCGGGTCAGGAGAGGTCTACTGTGCCATGTGGGTCACCTCCCTGGCTGGAAATCAAACTTATGCTACAGTGGCTGCTGATAGCCTCCTAGTGCTGTACTTTAACTGGTTGTACATTTTAAAGCAAATTGTTTATTTTACCTAAATTGTCAAATTTGTTAAAATTATATTAGCTTGTCTTTTTCATGTCTTTAAGATCTGCTGTGATATATACCCTCTCTAGTTTTTAATATTAACATTCTTGTTCTAGGTAAGAATGGAGTACTCATACTCCATTTTCTCTTTTCCACTGAATGCCAGTGGAATTGCATAGAACAGAATGCATAGAACACCTATAAAAAGACTGAAAAGTAAATGGTGATTGACTGAATAAGAAGACTTGATGTCCCCATGAACTAGAGGTGAGTTTGCCATTTTTATATCCTTCTTATCTTCTGGCCTGCATGCAGTGCAGCCTAAGCCTGTGTGTGGGCACTGGGATGTGTGTAAAGGGGATGGGAACTGTGCATTTCTGGCTGTAGCAAGAAACTCCTAATATCCAGTGAAAGTATGTGGGATTCTTGGGCTGTTTTTGTCTTTTTTCTTTATTTCCTGAACCCAAGACCACAACCTATTCTGTAATGGCAGCAGTAAAGGCCACAACAGGAGTCAAAAGAAACCAAACCTCTGGGAAAGAATATTTCTATCCATTTCTCCAATGAGAAATCCCTATTGCTTTCCTACCCTTTTTTCCCTGTCTTTTCTAACTCATCTGAAGATGGAGTAGTCACAGAAGTACACAATGATGAAGTAACTTTCTGGTGCCAACTTTCTGGCCATAGAGACAAACAGAGCAATTAGAGGGACCTAGAAAGTACTTGGCAGATTGTGTGAGAGAGAAGCGCTTGCTTAACTTTATAGGAAGGCCTATAACTCTTCACTGAGTAATACATGCATGGATCTGATCAGCACACCAGGGACATTGAGCGTTGACTAACACACCATTGATCAGTTCCTGGAAGACCACTGAGTGGTACATATTCAAAAGGGCCTACCCAAAAGGCACTTCAAGGGCTTTGAAAAATGAGTTTATATTTGAGCCTCAACCCATAGATGGTTGATTGAACTTGTAGCCTGAAGCTAAGTCTGTTGCCTAAAACAAAAATATGTACAGTCTCCAAAGGAATTAAACAAGACCTAGAGCCTCACTACATGATACTCAAATTTTCTAAGTGACAATCCCAAATTACTTGGCTTATGAAAACCCAGGAAAATCTCAATCTACCTGAGGAAAAAAAAAACATCGCATACATCAATATGAGAATGCCAGATGTTCAGATTTTGGGACACAGGCTTTAAAGCAGCTTTAGATAAATGCTTCAAAGCAATCATGAGCACTCTTTAAATGAGTAGAAAGTTAGCTAACTTCCTAAAGTGTCCAACAGTAGGTATTTTAGACTTTGCAAGGCATATGGTCTTTGTTGTCTCTAAATGCTATGAAAACAGCCATAGGCAATGCATAAACAAATGCATGGGATTGTTTTCGAAGAAAACTATTCATGGGATTTGGCTATAGTTTACAAGCTTTTGAAATATAGAGGTTTTTTTGGTGTTTTTTTTTATTTCTAGATATTTTCTGTGTTCTTGTGTGTATTATCAAAAGCAGTGTTTTAAAATCTTTTACTTTGTGAATTTGCTTATTTTCTCTTCAGTTCTGTTAGTTTTACTTCAGGCATTTCAAAGAGCTGATGTTATTGCATAAATGTATATAATTGTTAAGTTGTCTTGATGTATTGGCCCTTTTGTCATTATTATATTCTCTCTTTATGTTTCTTCAGATTTTTAAAATGTGGTTAAGAAACACAAAACAGTAAATTTACAAACTTAACCATTTTTAAGTGTAGAGTTTAGTGGTGGTAAGTATACTCATAATTTTGTTCTGTAGATCTCTAGAGGTATTTCCTCTTGTAAAACTGAAACTCTATATCCATTAAACACTAATTTTCTCTCCCCACTTACCCCAGCCCTTAGAAACTACTTATCCTCTTTTTGTTTCTATGATTTTGACTACTTTAGATAGTGGAACCGTACAGTATTTTTCTTTTGTGGCTCGCTACCCTCTTGTCTACTTTGAATAATGCTGCAGAGGACATGGGTGTGAAAATATCTCTCTGAGATTCTGCTTTGAATTCTTTTGGATATACCCAGAGTGTGATTGCTGGAGCTCCATTTCTAATTAGTTGAGTTTTCCATAGTGGTTGGGTCATTTTATAACCCCACCAATAGTGCATAAGGGTTTCAGTTTCTCCACATCCTCACCAAAATTTACTGTTTTTAAAAAGTAATTGTCACTTGAATAGATATAAGATGATATTGTGGTCTTGGTTTGCATTTCTCTTATGATTAGTTATATTGAAAATATTTTCTTATGATTTTGGGTTACTTCAGATTTGTTCCTCTTTCTCTTTGCGTGGTAGATTTCTTTTCACCTTTGACTTTCAACCTATTTGTGTCTTTGTAATTAAAGTCCACTTTTTTTGTTAGATAGTATACAATAGGGTCTTTGTTTTGATTTCAAGCCAGTCTTGACAATTTCTGTAATTTAATTGGCATGTCTAGTATATTTATAATTAGTGTAACTACATCAAATATTAATGTAATGCTATTAATGTAAAATAATGCCATTGAGGTGTGTCAAAAGGCAAATACTAGTAGACAGGGAGAGTGTATGTAATTCTTCAGCTTTTTTCTTTCTCTCCATTTTATTGAGCCCACTGAAGATGTCTATGTTCTAACCCTCATAACCTGCAACTATATTACTTTAACATAGCAGGTGTGATTAGGCTTACTGGCCTTAAAAAGAAAAAAATTACCCTGGATAATGTGGGTGTGCCTTGTAAATCATTCCTAAAAAGCAGATTAAACAGAAGGAGGACGGGTTGGAAACATGCAAGAGACTTAGCCCCAAATTGTGGGCTTTGAAGATGGAGGAAGAAAGTGTCAATTCAGGGGATGCAGCAGTGGCCTGAAGAAGCTGAGAATGACACTGAGCTGACAGCTAGTAAGAAAGCAGGAAACTCACTCTTACAAGTGAGGGAATAGAAAGATTCTGTGAACACTTGAATGAGCAGGAAGTGGATTTTCTCCTACAGTCTGTCAACACGTTGATTTCGGTTCAGTGAGACCTGTCCAGGACTCCAGAACTGTAAGACAACAAATCTTTGTTGTTTTAATCCTCCAATCTTGTGCTAATTAGTTATGACCAAAATAGCAAACTAAAACAACATAGAGTTTGGGGTTTACCCTGTCCCTGGATTTCTCCCATAATGGATCCCTAGACCCAAATTCCATGTGGGTGTGTAGAGAACTCCACCTCCAACCAAGTAATTCTCCAAAACCAACTCATATTTTACACTATCTGCTCTGGAATAGTATCATATTTCACAGGTTAAAGGCTCAAGTCACTTACGATCACCCTCCTCTGCACATGTCAGCGGGAAGCCCATGTTCCCAGAAACCCCTTCTGTTGAACTAATTTGCCGTGGTAGCTCATGGACTCAGGGAATTAATGTATTTACCAGAGCTCCAACTACTTACAAATGATATTTGTTGTGGGGAAAACATCAGGGTGAGGCTGGAGAAGCAGGGATGAAAGATTTCGTCAGAGACAAAGTGGAGAACAGAACACATGAATTTGTTAAAATACATGCTAACAGAAGCCCAGGAAAACCAGAAGTCTGCCCTAAGAAGGATTTGAGGGTCTCTTTTATATCTGCTTTCTAATTTGGAACACCAGTTATCTGCCGGAACATCTGGCCTCAGGTACTGGTCTTTGACACAGAAATATGTTATGGTCTCCAGCCAGGGCTGGTTTTTGTGTCATAGTGGTCAGTTTTATGGCCTTGTCCTCATGGCAGCCTATCCATTCCCTTAGCTATTCCAGCCTCCTGCTGGATCAGGAGTGGGGGTTTAGTTTTTAACCTTACTAAACTGCACCCCAACAATAAAGAGATGAATAAAGAGTAAAGTTTACAAAACCTTTGATATGGTAGCGGGTAGGAGGAAAGGATCCCAACCTAAGCTTCTAGGCGGGAAGGAAACCATCAACACCGTTGGATTTGTTCCACTAAATGCAGTTGCTCACAGCCACCAGCAGGGGGGAAAAGTAGTTTTCTGTTTCTGATGGGTCCGCAAACCTCGCTGCTAATTTCCTAACCAAAGGCAATGCAAGGGAAGAGCGCACAGATCTCGGTCAGCCTGCGGAGCGAAATGGACTAGAGGGGTGTCTCGGAACGCGAAGACCCTGCGAGATAAAGGATCTCCATTCTCAGCAGTCGCCTTTTCCTAGGCACAAGAGATAACTTGGCTGGAACTCCCTGCAGACGGCTCGGCCCGCGTGCAGGCTGCAGCAGCGCACAGCCTCCTCCAGGGCGGCCGCGGCCGCGCAGCCAGGAGGTCCAACCCGGTGTGGCAGTGCGCGGAGGTGCAGGGAACCCAGTGAACCCGCGCCGGAGTCCGAACATGATCGAGGTGAGCGTACGCCCCGATCAGCGAGTGGTCAGGTGAGCCCGCGATGGACTCCACCACGGATAAAGGTGACTCGGCGTCCAAAGATTCTAGCGTCTCCGTTCGAATCGGTTCTTAGGACTTGAGCAGTTGGTGCGCAAAATGGGTTGAAGCCGAGACCAAAGTCAGTCAGGATTCAGGATCTGGACCTGGGCACAGTTGTTTTAAGAGCTGAGGTCAGGCAAGTGTTGAAAAGATCTTCCACCAAGTGGGTTCATAGTATTAACCTTAAAAATAAATCACGCTAATGATATGATGGGTGTGGGAGGGGCAGAGAGTGGTTATTTTATAAGTGCCGAGCATTAATTATTCCCCAAGGGCCTTGGCTTAACTGCTTATTTTCTAGACGGGGTCTATACCTGTGACTGGTGATTAACTGCTTGGTTAGTAAATGATGAGGTGCACTTGGGAAGAAGCAGCCTCCACTTTGGGTGTTTTAAGATTGAAAGTCAGCGGCTGCTGAAGCAGTGAGAGGGACTGGAAAGGGAAGCAGAGAACAGAAAGATGAGCAAAGCTATGGAAGTCAAAAAAGAAACCACTTGCAAACAGCCCTTGATGGATCCACAGCTCCGTGGTGTTCGCAGATTAGCGGCCCCAGGAGCTCTGTCCTGGTTGACCTCCTTCAGGGGTCATGATGCTGACCATTTAATTGGGAGTCAGAAAAGATCATTGGTTGAGAAGCTGTTGTTTATCACTGGCATTTTAAAACAGTTATGGTAGGAACAGAGATATATGCAACATGTAGGCAACAAATTTTCTTTTAACAAATGATCAAATGATGAAATATGAGCATTTAACTAGATTAGGAGAGAAATTTCAAGTGTTTTTCTATATCCTGATGGTCATTCAGAGAGGAATCTAGAAAAGCATGCAATGTAAATAGACTTGAGGATAAAAATATTGCTAAACAGCACAACAAATTATTGCTAGCTCATATTTTATGCAGTAGTGTTATACATACACATAGTAGTAGTATAGTTGACTATATTTAAGGATATTTTGATTATTTTAGATAGCCAACTTTTAAAACAGATGGGAATAGAAAGTATTCCAATAATTTGAAATGCATCCAAAAGTCAAATAAAATATTTGTCAAACCTTATATAAGAATGAGCAAAATCATAACAATCCTAGTTCACCTACTTTTAGCAAGACATATGTTATGATGGTGCTGTTTCTTCTTGTACCTGATGGTTGAGGGGCAGTTTATTATTACAGATTCACATCTGTGTGCCTCACTCAGAACCTGAAATACCTGAGTGTCCTTTCCTCTTTTCAACTTACTGGTTCTGTGATTCTCCTATGCACAGCTAGTAAAACGCACACATACACACACAAACGTATTTTTTCATTTTAAAATTTGCCTTTTTACTTGGTATTCCTAAAATTTGGAAGCAGAAGGAACAGGCAAATTACATTTCCATAAATCAGACATAATAATAAAGTGTCTATTATTGGAGAGAGGTTGTTGACTATGTAAGAAATGAGAAATTAACTGAAGGACATTATAAACATTGTTTATAATTGTATTAACATGTCATAAGCACCCTGGGGCTGACTCCTAGCCTAAGAGGTGAAGTACTTATCACTAAACCTTACCTGGAATCTTGTTTTATTATATTTTATATGCCTGTAATGGAACTTAACGATTAATCATACTATGTGCTGTTAGGTGTATTTTTTAAAAATAGGAAATGTTGTGTTGTGGGATATTGATTTCTTCTGTTTTTCACATTTAGGCCTGTTGACACTGGAAAAGCCAAATAACCTTTGTTTAAGTAAGACAGAGGTGTGTGTGTGTGTGTGTGTGTGTGTGTGTGTGTGTATGTGTATTTATATATAAATGTGTAAGTATCCTGCAAGTAGGTAGTCCTTGAGTGGGGTAGTAGCTACTGTCTCGTGAGGAACTTAATGTCTTTCCCTCTCTCTGCTGTCCTCACTGTGTGGCTTTCTTCTTCAAGTTTGCCTCATGGTTGCAAGATGACTGCTGAATTTCTAGTCATCACACCCACATTGTAGGCCAGAACAAGGAGGAAAGAAAGAAGGTCTGAAAACACCTGGGAGCTTAGTAAGGCTTAACAAGTTCTACATGAATTTTCTGGTAGATTGCCTGAAAAGATGGCTGTCAACAATTCTTGTGTACATGCATCATTTTTCCACCAAGGGGAAACTCATCCTTTGACTTGGGCTGACACTGACTTACTTTGACCAACAGAACACACTGGATAGGCTTACTAGGGCTTTCTGCTTCTTTTTTCTGCTTCTTTTTTCACCCCCTTTGGATCCAAATGTCATCCTAAGAGGCTTGGACTAGACTACTGGATAGTGGATAATGAATAATGTGAAAAGAGGCCTGAGCCATCCCCAGCTACTCCAGTTACCCCAGCTGAGGTGTTAGTCATGTGCAGGAAGCCATCTTGGGTATGCAGAACTCTAGCAGACACCATGTGGAGCACAAGATGCACTCAGCTGAAGCTTGCCAACTTACAGAATTGTCAGAAATCATAAATCATTGTCAAATTGAGCTAAGACACAATCACTTGACCCTGTGCATCCAAGTGTTAGGATGACCAGGAAGTGAAATTCATTAGTGTGGGCATTGGCTGCACTGGGTAGGTAGGAGTCTTTATCACCTGGTGGCAACTTGGGACAGGAAAGGCATCTCTGGAGCATAGAACCAAGGTCCTGTAGAATCATTGCTCTCATGTTTTGGCATTAATGTGATTGGGACAACCACATGGATCATGCTGCTGTGTTCACTGTTGGCCTCTGTTCTGAAGCCTCATTTCTGCACACTGTTAGGCTTCCCTGGGGTACCTCTCTTGCACACTGAGCTGTCAGATACCCTAGCGCCTATTCTACGAGAGGAACTCCGATGGGATTAGGGCATCATCCATCCAGGCTACTGTGAGCTCATTGCTATGCTCTGGATTCAACCCTTCTCCAGCCAGCACTGACAGCAAAGGGACATGGCTATAGTTGTCTGACCTTGTACAGTTATATACTCTGCTGCAGTTTGCTCATCTGTACAATGGGGCTCACAGTAGCTATTTCATAGGTTTTTGTGCAGGTTAGAAGTCCTGTAAGCATGCGGTATGCAGTCAAAAAATGGTAGCCATGACTGTGGCTGTTTTAACTCAGACGCAGCAGTATGCTTCCTTTGTAGAACTGGTGTTTCTTGGAAAGTTAGCTATCGGTCAAGTGATGCTTCCCCCATATATGTTTGTCATAAAATGAGAATTCTGTTCTCTGAAGTTTTTGATGCCAGTGATGTTACATTTAAAAGCTTCTTTTAAAAATAGCACAAGTATTTTTCACACTCATGAATTGAGAAGAACACTATCTGATAATACACCAAACATAAGCAAAAGCTTCCCCTCCATGTATGTGCCTGGCTTTGTTTTGTGGGGTGATGGAGCATGCATGGAGTGTGGGTGCTCCTTTGCTTTCTGTGTCCCATGGATTTGACCGTGATTGCTTCCTTGGGACAAAAGCAGCTTGAGAGAAAAACCAGAGATGTCCAGATGCTTTGGAAGACACAGTTTCCGTTGTTGTAGATTCTGCTTAATCCCAGGTACATTGTGATCTTTCATGTGGGGAGGGTTTTAAATTTTTTCTAAAGTGGACTCTCTCATAATTGTTTATTTAAGAGCTGCAGACATAGTATGTTACAGGTTGTTGATACATTTATTTGATTTTTTTTGGTAGGTGTTTATAGTGCAGACAGGTTTACCATTCTGGTTATGATATGCTTTTAAAATTCCTGCTTGCATTATATATTACTTTCATAAAGACAAATTCCTCACAGAGGACTTTCTGCCATTCCTAGCTTGTAAAGCACTATATAAATGTAGATATTACTATAATTCTTTAGCCTGGACATACCTTTACTTGGTGGTGACATTTCTTTTTATAATAGCTGAGGTGGTACCACATGTGGAAACTGATGACTGATTTTGTGATCTAGCAGCTGACATGGGCTTTATATATTGTCAGAGTATGCATTTATATCTCAGTGTGGTGTCTTGAGAAGAGGCAAGAAAAACAAATGGCTTTTCCTAAAACAACTAGTTTTGACATATGTATAGGTTAGTCTACTCTTACCAAGTTCAGACAGGACAGGATAGTCTGAGACAGTCCCATCCCCCATAGGTAGGCAACCACTATTCAGAGTCTCATCTTCCTTCCGGCAATTTCCTATGCGTCCACAAATATACATCTGCATGATTTGTTTCTATTTTAACACAGATGGTGTCAAGCTGTATGTATTGTTATGGCATCTTTTCTTTTTTACACATCTCTAGGTCTGAAACTTGTTCCTATTGCAGAACATATAACTGTATTTCATTCTTTTAAACTGCTCTGTAGCATCCCTTTAGACCATGATTGACCAATCCCATATGATGATCATTTTCAAATAGGCTGTATCTGAAAACTGAAGATTTTACTAGAATTTTCTAGAGTTAAATTTTCTTGATAGATTTTATTTCTTAAGGGCAGTTTTAGATTCACAGAAAATTTGAGCAGCAAATGCAGACATAGTCCCTGTAACCCCTGACCTCATAAATTCACAGCCTGCCCCCTTAACAAGAGGGCCCCCCGCCCGTGAGACATCTGTCACACTCAGTGAGCATAGGCATATCATTGTCCTCCAGAGTTTATAGTTCACATTAGTGTTTGTTCTTGGTGTTGCCCATTCTATGGGTTCTGATAAATTTGTCCATCATTATAGTATCCTCCAGAATAGCTTCACTGACCTAAAAATCCTCTGTGTCCTACCAATTCATTCCTCCCACGCCTGGCCACACTGATCTTTTTACTGCCTTCATAGTTTTGCCTTTTCTTAAATGCCAAATGTTAGACTCCTATAGTACGTAACTGCAGCACTTTTCACTCAGTAACATATATTTAAGTTTCCTCTCTTCATGGTTTCATAGCTCATTTCTTTTTCATGATAGATAAAT